GTAGGCAATGTTTAGCAGCTTTACAGTTTTGCCCACTTGGATGGCAATGACCATATCAGTCATAATAACTTAAGAAAGGTTAGGAATGAGAGGAGGCTATTCGCAATTAGTAACTAATTGATCAAAGGAGCTCATCTAGCTATTTCTTGAAAGAAGACAGGGTATCTGCTTCAACAAAATAGCTAGGTAGCTTCTTCCGTACTCTCACAACCCTGAGGATAAAGGAGTGTTCTTTATCCTGTTCTTGATATTGAATGCACTGCCACTTAGTTTCCAAAGTACTTCATCCAACGAACTAGACGAATCCAGTGAAAATACCCACCTGTAAAAATGAGTGTAAAAGTAAGTTGCTTGAGATAAAAATGTCAACCAAGTAGTTTAGTAAGTTGTACCCAAGAGAGATGGGGCTTGAGACATCTTGCTGTTCGGGCAGTTTTGTTAATAAAAGCTTAACTGAGCAATCTCCTATACATTCACTTATTTTCTTCAAATTGAAAGGCAGTTAACTTAAATTGCATCAAATGATTATAATCAGGGGAAGATGTCGATTTTGATCACTTCTCAGAAAGTGTGTACAAGATTATTTCTTGGTTTGGTTTAAAAATGTAAGCAGGTTACGTTATGTTATTCAGCAGGTTTGCACTTTTGTTTCTGTCTAATAATTACCATTGATTAGATTTCAATGCTTATTAAATTTTCTAATCCTGCCCGGTATATGGTTTTTACTTCATAGAACTGTTAGAGAAGCGATTTACGGTAAGCCCTCTGTTACTAACTGAGACCAGGTAGGGCCAAGATTGTCACTTCATTTTAGATGAAGGTCTTGATTGAGGTCATCAAAATCCTACACTGGACTGACAAAGTTAACCTCAGTGTCTGGTTTGGACTCACACCAGAACCCAGAGACGTACGGGGAAATTTAAGTGAAAAAGATCTGAGGCTGAAGATTGGATTCTGCTCTATCCACACAGAGCTGAGAGAGAACAGAACAAATTACTTAACAACACTGTGGATGCAGCCTCAGCAGGGTCTCTCAGGAAACAGATTGATAGGCTGGTAATGACAGGAGGGGCATGATGGGACTGATGGTCCCTTTTCTTGTTCCTAACATCCTTCCATGTGGAATTTTTATGTAACTTGTTCACTGGGGATTGCTGTTTTTACACTGCCCTTCATTTAGTGTTTTTATTTTAAATTTAGCTTTCATGTAGAATTCTGAATTTGTCTAAACTGTAAACACCTCATAAATATCAGTAGTTTTTTATTTCATCTTCTACTTCCCACCAACTCCTAAAATAAATCAAATCTTATATTTACCTAAAGAGAAAAGCTTGTGACTTCTGACTGATATCATCGGTGCCCTTAGTCTTCCTGTTTACAGGTTTTACAACAGCACAGAACATTAAAAGAGTTTCAAAGAGGAGGAGGCTTTTTGACCAATTCACTTGGCTAGTAGTTTGTTGATTTGATGGATTTGTCCAGACATTTCTTGAAGGGTCCTGGAGACCCTGTTTCTATGAAATAACAGGGCCGTTTGTCCTATATTACCACAATCCTTTGTGTAAAGAAATGCCTCCTGTTTCCAATGCTGAATGTAAATTTTCTTAATTTCCACTTCTGTCCTTGGTGCTGAAGTAGTTCTCTGTGTAATAAGAGCACACTGTATGAGTATAGTTCCTCAAAAATTATTAGGAGTTATATAATATATATGAGATTAGATATATATATATTTTAAAACGGTGTGCTTAAAGTGTATACCATTTCCCTGTAATAGCAATATCAGTAACTTTTGGGCCAGCTTGTTTGAATCGTTTTTTTTAGTTAATTTCCTCAGTGGATGAAGTCCAGTTAGTGGGACAGTTAGCAAGGGTTCCTTCAGGAAGGAAGGGCACAAGAATGATGAAATCTCTTCCATAGCCAAGACCGTCTCATCATCTTTATCTTAGATACACCCAGTCCTGGCCCTGGTGCCGGAGACCCACCATCCAATAGACTGATACATCTCCTTTAATAATCTCTTTGGAAAGAGTTGGAATAATTGCAAGTGCTGGATCAGTCTATCAAGATCAAGACTTTCACTCTCTGTTCTTGAAAAACCGCACAGCATTCATGTTTTTTCATTTGCACATGGTCTTAATCGACAGATTGCGTCATTGACAGATTCCCAGCCTGAGCCCGACTGGTGAAATTGACATTGCTACACATTTGAAATTGATGGTTTCAGGCTACCTAGGAAAAGCTGATGGGTTGCAGATCTCCAGCATCGGGGCTGGCCACCTCTGATCGACAGTGTCATGATGGATTAATGTGTGGGCTTGGAGAAGGTGAGGGAGAAGGTGAGGCCCAGTGTCCTGGCGCCCTCCGACCACGAGCAGTGACACTCCAGAACCCACGCCCCTGCTTTCAGATTCCTGCTGTGCTATTCTGGCTTCCAAAGGCTAAGGAACATGCCCTTTATTTGCTGGCATTTCCAATGGGTTCTTTTATCGTTGGCCGACCAACCCTGAACTCTGAGCTCTGCGTCAGGGGGAGCTTGTGTATTCCATTTGTGTTGTGCAGCGCCACAAAATAGCCCACATCGCCAGAAGCTTCAGTCTTACAAAATCCACTGGTAATGCGCCAATCGGGGAATTCTCGGATGAAATCAACCAGACAGTCAGAGACATTGATTTCACGACTTTTCATGTTTTTGTGCGGCTAATTCAGGTTTCCTTGAGAGTTCCCCATGTCTTTTACACGAGAGTTATTTAACAACATAGCGTTGTGTGCAGAATGCGCTTCTGTCTTCAGGGAATGACTGGGAGTTGGGGGGCCAAGTTATCCTTCAGTGTTCCAAGTGTCAGCGGCTATTAATTCATATCTGGATATTTAACAGCGATGGAGGCCAGCTTTCTCTGTGTTTAAAATTATGGTATCTGTGCTGCGTGCAGATAAATTCTTTCTAGGCAGGCCTTGTCACCAGCCAGGCTGCAGCAATGCGGTGATTTATTCTTATTTATGGTCTTTGGGTCTTGTTTATATGAGAGGATGTTGACTGGGGAGGTAAAGGGGGGGAGGCACTATTATGCAAATGACATTGAGCGTCCTCACCAAACCTAAATAATTTTTGTGTCGGGCGATTAAACCTCATCTGTTATTGATATGGGACTGCGGAGGGCTATTAAAGAGTCCCTGCAGTCCTTCCTCCCAGTAAATGGGAAAATTGAAAGGAGAGTTTGAAAAAAAAAATAGTCTTCAGGACTGCTTTGTGATTGCAGCAGGGGACCTGGAGAGTCTGTCTTGAAGTTACTCGGCAACCTCTCCTCTCCTGCTTATCAGACGCCGCGACACAGTGCGGAACCCGTTTCCTCTCTTTCCATTTGTGTTTTGGTCTTCTGGGAGAATGGTACAATTGGCTCAGGGAGTGTTGACAGCATCTTTCTTACAACTGCCCCTCGCCTTTAACAGAAACACACACACACACACACACACACACACGCATACCTCGCTCTCTCCCTCTGTCTTCCAGTTTCCCTGACACAGCTGTGTTTTCACATTTTGATCAGGGTTGATAGCTTATGAATTCCAAAATTGACAAAATTTCCAGAAAAATGAGAATAATCCATCTTCCTTAGCTGCCTGTCAGGGGCTGGCGATACTTCATAATCTTCAATTACCCATGCTATTCTCAGACATTTACATGTCGGCATTAGGGCTAAATGAAAATGAGGAACAAAGAGAGAGGGGAAATGCAGCTATTTACGTGAACAGAGAGGGAGAGAACAAGAAGGGGTATCTTGGAAGCTGTGTTTTGGTCCGTGTCACCCCGGCACCTGGAACTGCATGTTGATAAAGAAGGACCATTATAAAGGTCGGGTCATTCTGGAGATAGAAGTCACGTGATTTTGGATCAATCTTAATGAATTACTGAATTTCAAACTCTTATCTCCAGGCTTGCTTTACAGAACTTGCCTTGATAAATACTTGCAAAAGAGCACAACAACACAGAATGAAGCTGTTGCTTGTCTCAATTAAGCATTTCCGAATTGTATGTTTTCATGGCCCTTCGTAAAAGACTACACTGCACAATTCTATAACGATTTATTTCCTTCCAATTGGATTGGGCACCATTCTTTTTCTTTGACTGCTCTGTTATTGCAACGTAAAGAAAGCCAAATGTTGTGTGGTACTGTGCGTATGTTTGGTGGAGTAAATTCTATAATACACTTGTACTGTATGATAGCTTATAGTACAATACTATTAGCATCGTGCATGATACTAACCCAAAAACTTTAGTACTTGCAACATTGAGTTCAAGAGTAAGTAATGTTTGTTCCATAACTCTTTAAGACATGTTGCTATAATTTAGACCTTCTGGCAGTTCTTACAGACTTACAAATGCAGTGATTTTGAGCTATGTGCTGTGGTATTGTGACGATCTGTCGGGGCTGTCTTCTTTTATTGGGGGTTCCATTGGGCGTGACCAGCAGTGGGGATTCGTCTGAGCTCAGGAGACTGTTGTGTGTTTCAACGGGAGTGATGGGCGCAGCCTCTGTGAACCTGTGAATGTACAGTATGGATGCCAAAGAACAGGCAGGGGTTGTGGCGGGAGGGGTGGTTTAGGAGCCTTTTTTAGAACAACAGCTTGGTTACCGAATTCGAAGTTTCTAGGACTACCCATTGTTTTCAGATGAACACATCTCCCTTCCTTTGCATTCATCTCTACTGTGCTGTAGATGACAGTAACGCCTTGTTCCCTGCATGTTAGTTTAAAAAATAACTGTCCTCTTCTTAGCTTTCCCATTCCTTATATCAGAAGGGTTCTCAGCCTGACACTCGGACTACACAGATCTAGATCGCTGTACTGCAGCAGGTCATTGGAGGAACTCATACCAAAGGGTCTTCCTTTTGGCTTTGCAAGTATGGCTTGTGCTCCTTCGGTATCCTGAAAGAAAAAAGCTAGGCTACAAAGGCTGTACCTGGTTGCTTCTTGTCTCATGTGCTTGTCCCTGTTGTTCCAGACAACAGAGTACTCGGCCATGGCGTCATTAGCAGGAGGCTTGGATGAGATGAAGAGCAGCCTAGCCAACCCCACCCCTGCCGATTTGGGCACCAGTGTACCCGGGGCACAGTCCTATCAGCTGGTGGCAGGTAAGGACACTTGTCTACTCCCCCCCCTGTGTTGCGGCGCATCTCTGGGGACACTTGTTCCTTGGGGACACAGTCTGGGCTGGAGCTATTGGTGGGCTGGAATATCATGGTGAAATGGCTTCAGGGTCCCATTTTGACTGAGATTTACGACGTGGCCTGTGTGTCTCTGTGTGGCTCTGTGTGGCTCTGTGTGGTCTGTCTTGGGATGTAATGCTACAGGGACAGGGAAGTGAGCGCTTATGGCGTCGGTTCTATGAGAAGACGTGAAGGAAACTGTGAAACAGAGGAGAAGATCTAGGGAAGTACAATGCTCAGGACATCCAAACTCACATTCGGATGGTCAGAATTCTGGCCACAAAGGCTTTGAGAAAGGAAGACAATGAATATTCTCAAAATGTTTCATCCCGGAAAGGTTTAACACACCACGGGAATAACATACCCTGCTGAAATTTTTCATAAAATGCTTGGCAGCTTTGAGATTTTCCTGGGTGGAAACCCAAGAATTTCTGGACAAACTACAGTGTGTCCAGCGATCAGTGATCAGTGTCAGTAAAGTCAATCCTAAAGGCCTGAAGATACAATCCAAAGACTTTCTGAAGGCATATTCTAAATTATTTCCTAAAAAACAGTAATACTGTAATTGTTCTTTACATTCATAGTGTATATTGATTTCTATCTAAAAGATTCCCAAACCACTTTATCAAAAGTTTTAAGTGCCTACATAAGTTATAAGATATGGTGCCTATACAGGCCTATATAAATAGGACTTCTTCTTAAACACTAGGCAGTAAAACACCATGGGTTTTGGAAACTTCAAATTCCTAGAGGAGACAGACAGAATTTAGCAGTTCCCTGGGATGAGGGAGCTTGAGGCTTCTAAACTAAACAGGACTTCCTTTCTCTGATGAGCAGCTTGCAGTTTAGGTTGTGTGACGGTGGGGATACAGACAAAACAGCCTGTGCTGATACTCCTGGTGGCTTGCTCCTATACGTGTAGTGTGTTTAAAGGCCTGACTGTAACATGCATGCATTACATGACATACAGCTTTTCCCAAGATGTCCTCAGCCTGCTGTATATATATATATCTGTATTGCTCTTTTTGTTCAGGGGTGGCAACTAGAATCTGGCTCATCTCAGACATTAGCCTGTGGCTCTGGAGAGTAGATGTATTTATTTGCCTTCTTTGCACCGTTCTACAGTAGTCGCTGTGCCTCAGACACACTTGCAGAGAGAGAGAGGCTAATGGAATGCTCATGTAAATTTTGCTTTCTGATTGTCTGGACAGCCCCACACCCCCATCGCCCATCCATTTAGGACAAGCAGCTAATTAACTCCTACCCTTGAAAGCTCTGACAAATCCATGGATTCTGCCCTAATGAGAAAATCATTACGAGACCCGAGGAATTGTGGCCGGATTGCGGCTCGGCTGACAAGGTATATTAAAAACCACTCATCCAGGAGAGCAGGTGGGCTTGTCACACACAACGCCCAGCGAGGCACCGAAGGCAGGAAGAGGAGCACAGCCTGGTCTTCCCCCAGAACACAGCACGCACACAAAAATAAAAGGCGGCGATATTTTTGATAATGTACAACAGGATGAACCTTTATTAGGCAAATAAGGAGTGAAAAAGAGCATCAGTGGCCAAAGAATCAGATGGAAAAAGTGTGGAAAATCTATAATAAACCGCTAGATTTATGATAATAGAATAAACCACTACAAGAAAGGCACAATAGCGATTTTCTCTTATGACTAATGGGAGCCTATTTTATCATTTGCTTTCGACAGTCTAAGGCAGACGAAGTTGCTTAATTTTAGTTTCTCACAAGTAGGGAGATGAGCCTACTTTTTGTTTTGTTTTTGTTGTGATTGCATTTTTTATTCATCACTTGCAAATGTTACTTAGCCTCTTTGCTAATTCGTGGTTTTTAAAATGAAATGGTATCCAGTTCTTTTCTGCTAAATGGACGTTCAACACCGTGAGTTTGTGCCATGCGTAACAGGGATGAGGGCTGATGTGACATGTTTCCAAGTTAAATTGAGTTAAGAATGAATCTATGAAGTTATTGATTACAGAGATTGGAGATTAGTGGTACACATCAGCAACTAAATGGTGGTTCTGTATTAAGTATTGAACCTTGAGGAGCATAATGAATGAATTCCCATTTCTAAGCATCATTACATTGTCAAGTATACTCATCCCTTTGGCAATTAATTGAATGGTGATAGGCACCATTATCATGCAGTTATCTCAGTTTTTGAAAGTGAATTTGGAGGGCATTGCATTGTACACTACATGGAAGTGTTCTTGACACAGGTGATTAGCTGTAATTAACTTATTCTTGATTTGTTTGGGTGTTGCCTGGACTATGTAGAACAGGGGTCTCCAGTCCTGGTCCAGGAGAGCCTCAATCCAGCAGGCTCTGTACCTGAAGCTCACAATGAAATCATTCATTTCTAAAGTTATAGAACAAATCCATTGTGATCAACTGAGCAGCCCATTTGATGAATTAACTTATTTAGTAATCATTGAGGATGAAACTTGAAGTACTCTTCAGCCCTCAAAGACCAGAGTTCTTTCAACTGAGGAAATTACTTGTTTAATTCATGAGTAACTTTGTGGTGTACCAGTCTTTTAAAACAGATGACCTATAAGGCTAATTGGATTAGGGCTTTCCGGGACCGGGTTGGAGACCCCTGGTGTAGATTAACTGTTTAAATTATGTTTTAACTAATTGATTCCAAGAGAGCACCTACAAAACCTCTCTGCAGTAGCAGCTTGGGGCTACTCATAGATATTCATCTAGGGGAGCCAGATTGTGTCAGTTCAACAGCGCCCTCTGGTGGCTATGAGGATCTTAACTCTTGGCATGTTGCTCAAAGAGAAATAGACATCTCCTTTATTTTTGGGAAGACTCATTGCACTCAACACATATTAAATCATACCAATGACAGTGTACATGTGAAAAGTATTGTTAGACATATACAGATCTTCATAATGCAAACTTTGTGACGGATATTTAAAGTTATATTAGCTCTATAGATCTTTTTAAGGCAAGAATAGCAAGGGAGCTCCTGTACATCACGACAAGCCTGAAGTGCTCTTGATGTTCTTTTATAGTGCATGATATGATAGGAAATCAATTAAAAAGTCATTGATAGCCAATACAGAATAAGAGTCTGGAGGATAGATAGTTATGGGGGATTCAGCTGGGTTTGGAGGTCTGAGAATACTAGACAGGTGGCCACAGAAACAGTAAAACATGCAAGTGTAAAATTGTCACCTGAAACTGATAGATGCTGAGTAACTGGATGGCCCCCAGATTGTGTCAGTGTTCACAGCTTAAATCAGTTTAAATCTGCATTGAAATGCAAGGGCTTTATTTATTGGAAGAATCCAGTCTTAAGAATTCAATATCAGAGTCCATGATTAGTGTAACTCGTGTTCTCAGAAACGAGTGATTAGTTCTCCCCTTTGAGGGACTTTGATGTTTTAAGATAAGTCTGCCTTGAGTGCAGGGAAACACGTACATTTCACAGTCCTAGAGATAGTTGTGTGGCTCAGGCTGTTTGACAGATGAGGAAGGCTTTTGCATAGAAGTGTGATTTTGTCTTGTGACGAACCTCCTCCAAATTCTCCCTTAGTTTCAGCACCACTTGCTTAAATCTACCTTTGCAAGGCAGAATGCTTGGGGGAAAAACATGATCAAAGGCATCAAACCCTGACAAATAAACAGGTAGCTGGAGAGAAATAAATTACCTGGAGCAGAGATACACTTTAAACAACTTGTTTTTTACAAAGGAAAAGGAGCATAAAGCGTGCAAGTCCATATTGAACAGAAATATATGTCCTTCTCAAATACCATTTTAGTGAGCCTGCCTGCCCCTCATGGCCCAGCAGGCTGGTTTCAATTCAAAGTATCATTTGCTGCCCTGGGGAAGTTCAGCTCAGGTGGGGAGACTCTTTCTCGCAGCAGCCTGCAGAAACAGTACTCATTCCCACGACGTTGAAGTGTAATCTTTGAATTACACCGTACAAGTCTGTGCTGTGCAACCCTTTATGTCCTCAACTGGTTGGTATTATTTCTATGGTGGTTGTTAAGAGCACCAGAGATAGGTCTGCTGAGCTTGGGCGGTATACTGTATCTCTACCTTGCTTACATAGTCATGTCTGCAAGTCCCTTTAGCTTAGTAAAGGCATTGGGTGAGCTGTAAATGCCTGGCTGGGTACCACACCAGTGTGAGTCTGCAGCACCTATGAAGTCTAGAGGACTGACGCTCTCCAAAGGCAGCTTTGGAAGCCCTTGACAGAGATGTGTGGTTAATCCATGTCTACATCTACTGATACTCCTCCGGCTTTTGTAGCAATGCATTATAGGAATGAGGAAATAAAAATGCAGATATCAACGATTCCCCAGCCAGGACCCCCTCCTCTTAGAGCTCTAGAGTGTCACAAATGTGACAAATTTTCCGGACGTGCTTCTAGCCCACCACTCGAGGTGTTAGATCTAGAGCTCTTTCAAAACAGCGGTGCTACTGCTTTCAGTGTGCTGTTTCCAGGAGGAAAGCAGATGACTTTGCTGCTGTTGGGGACCCACTGGAAGCCGAGTCCTATGTATGCTAAACGCTCTGTGAAATGGGGATCTGAGTGACAAATTCAGACGTGCCTGAGAGGTGACCTTCTCGTCAAGGCCGAGATGAACTGCAGAAAGCTGGAAATCTGCTAACATCCCCCCAGTGGAGGCGACCCTGCCTGACCCCCTCAACTCTGGGATTCCTGCTAGACTGCCTATGAAGAGCCCATCTATCTTCTCACAGCACGGCTTCATCCGAGCGGTGCCGTGACCTGCTTCAGATTATGAACCAGTCACCACTAATGCCTTCCTGTCGCATCAAGTGTAAAATAAAACTAAAAAAAAAGGAGGCACGTCTATATTTTCCTGGATGATCTCTGGCACTCACTCAAACACACACCATCTACTGTTGCTCTGAAACCCCTCG